CAGAGAATATCAGGAACTATTATGTCAGCTTATCGACTATGTAGTTCTTGGCTTTTTCTTTCTGAAACGAAGACACTTGAGTTGAGAGTACAATGGAGAAACCCTTACTTTCTGCACGAGATCAGCTCTGGCATCATCCATTTTATGCGATACTGTAGTGAGCATATCCTTAGAACCTTTTCTCCTCTAAAAAAAGTAGGGTTTATATTTGGCAAAGTTTTTTATTGGGGGGGGGGGCTTACCGGTGTTGAACCAGGATCGATAGTAGTAGCGGTAACATCGCTAGGAGCAGTGAGGTTGATTTCTTCCGTCGCTCGTTGTGCAGCTTCTCTTTGACTGGTACTCATTTTCCTGAAAAGATTTTAATCATTATTAGCACGTTTTTTACGCAGCAAAAACAGAAAAGACGGAAATTTCGTCTGCGAATTTCGATGAGAAAGAGAATTAGGCGCTCAAGTTCCCTAGATATTCTCAATTTTTTAAGATAACCCATAATGACACCAAAGTCATGAAAATGCCAAGAAGGAAGCATTCTTGAAACAGACGATATAAACAAAAAGAATCAATGAAAAAACCCCATAAGTCTAGACGACGTAAGGCGGGAGAGGGGCAGAGTAGCTTGTTGTTTACGGCTGCTGTTTGGACGATCGATTCAATGGGGAGTAAAACTAGACGGTAGTCCTCACATGAAATTTATTCAGACACCCTATGATAGCACTTTTGGCAAGTTGCCATGGTTGGATGATATGTCGTTTCACCGACATCAAGCCATATGCTGTGCGCTACAAAAAGGTCTCTGAGACAGATTCTAGCGCTGCAAGCATCATACCTTTGAAACTCCATATAACATAGAAATTACAATGGAGTATCAACGAAGAAATATAAATATGCTTGGTAAAATTGCCTAACCAGCGAAGTGGAGAGAATAATCTTTGTCTATCTCTCTATTTCCGAAATTTGATTTGATGTTCAGTGTGACTCAAGTGCATACCATATCTATACCTCTTTATACAATCTAGAGTGATAATGCACACCTGATGTTTGGAAATGCTATTTGATGCGATACTTATAATGGGGCCAGATCAGAGCTAATTGCCTTTCGTCAACCATGATTGCAGCCATATTTGCATAATATTATATTTTGCATGATTGGGGGATGAACTATTTACCAAGAACTATTACATAGTAAATCACAAATTTTTTCTATCACTTTTCATTATTAATCGTAAATCGAAAGACCACACATTAGCTTTCGGATCTTCGCAGACGTCACCAACTCTTATCGTGGGGAAATTAGAGACGAAACAAATATAAGATATTACATATCTAATGATTCCTATATTAACACGGTACCATTAAGCCGCTAAGAACATCCTGTTTACAAGTCCACTGCTGCTTAGAGCTGCGATTTTTCCTAGAACGCTGGGTTCGTCCGAAGCAAGGCATGTGAGTGAGTATATTTAGTTACGAATGATTGCATTTGTTGCACTCTGTGCTAAATGCAAAGATCACAGCTTCTAGATTTCACAAATCTCTTGTAAAAGAGGATAACAAGGAAGAGTACAAGCACAAGGTTAGCTAAGCAGTGTAATTTTCTGCAAGATGAGATCAAGGAACAGAATTTGATATTATGAAGTGAAGAGCTGCTAAGCTGCGGCACACGCTGTCCAGACGACGCTTATATGGAGACGTGGGATTAGATTTCCATATACAGGGCTTCAGTCTAATATTTGCATTTCTATAGGCAAA